GCGAGAGGAGCCGTGGGGTGGGTGCGCGTTTGGATGCAGGCGGGCACTGCCACAGCCCGCTCAAACAGAGGTTTTTGTGCTGCCAGGGGAGATTTCACGCACTGCCAGCCAGCACTTGCACGCAACGTGTCCTTATCGTGGAAAGACTGGATGAAAAGCAAGCAAGCACTGCAGAACGACAGACTGACAGCTCATCAAGTAAAAGCACTGTTCCATCCACGCTCCCTCCCCCAGCAGACATCGTTCTGCACCTAATCCCCAGCTGGAAAACAATGAGCATTTTCCCTTTCTCCATCCTTCCTCTTAGCAGGATCTGCTTGTCCTGCACCACCATAATCTGGCTTCACCACGGAGCTTACAAAGTGCAGACAAGCACTTTGATCACATCCAGACCATCCAGGCAGAAAAATGAGGCAGCAATACTGATTTGTAACGAAACTGACTTTTATATAAATTATAAACCCATCCAGTTTAAAGCAGTTCAGTTGCAGCTGTGTCACTTAAGTCCGTAGAAGGCTGAGGCGTACATATCTCCTACAGTCATAAATTAACAATAATCAAGGAAGAGAAAGTTCAGATAAGGCTGCAAATACAACAACAACAAAAAGAAAATCCCTAAGTTTACTAGCCGTTAAAATAAAGTCATGATTATCAAGGATTGCAAAATATAAATGCAATTTCTGAACAGTTAAAAAGTACAAAAATGATGGACAACACAAACAAGCATTGTACAGTTTGTCCTGTGTGTAGACAAAGCAGAGTAGGAGATTTCCAACCTTTATCTACATCAGACACTGATTTGAAGCCAAGAGGAGTTGAGGAAATCTGTAAAAGGATCGTGGCTCATGATCCCAGTAGTATAAAAGCAGTAATTTTTCAGTCTGTAAACAGTAGTCGTGGTAGCTTCTTCTAGGTATGTTTTTCAATTCATCACCCAAAGAAAATCCGAAACCAACAAAAACAAATCCTAAGAGTGGAAAAAAGGGGAACAGCAGCAATGGGTTATAGCTTGAATTTCTTACCAGGTCCGTGTGGGACATATTCTGGAGGGGAAATGCTCTTTCATAAGAAATATATAATATATTTAACTGTACACAATTTATAGGGGGAGAGAAACTCTCCCTCAAGCAAGCCCCCAGTCAGTGAGTACGGAGTCATTTTTGTACACTGTTTCCTCCTAGAGAAACTACAGCTTGGGAAGAGACAGCCTCTGCTTTTAGAAACCACTGAGGAACCCCCAAGTCCTGTGTTTGCCAAGGTTGCCATTCCCAGCAGCTGGCACAGAGAACAGTCACAATTCCCTGTGCTGGAAGTGACAGAGCCATGGTTCCACCCTGTCCCAGCCCCTGCCTCAGATGCCACCAATCCCCTCCAGTTTCAGTTCTGCTTTCAAGGGATGCAGGAAACCTTTTTATAACCCAGCTTCTGCTTTCAGGCACACAGGAGGATTTTAAATGCTTGGTTTTCTTAATCCTAAACCTCACTTACACTGTCACCATTGCTTATTGATATAACTGAGTCCAAGCTGGTGTAGCAGCAGTGGAAGGAAACTGCAGCCTGGATCAGCCCTGGGACTGTCCCTGTGTCACCTGTGCAGTGAGGAGGGGACAGGGACAGCAGCAGAGCCACTGGCCCTGACTGGGAAGGGCAGGGCCTGTTTTGGCTCAGGGCTGCTCTGAGCTGCCCCAGCCCAGCTCTGGGGGGGTTTGCACTCACCTCCAGTCACCAGCCTTGCTTTAATTCAAGGAGCACACCCCTCCTTTCAAAAATGATATTTCTATACAACATGACAGTTCTGTTTCTTTTTTTTCCTTTTCTTTTTTTTTTTTTTTTTTTCAGTAAAAGTATTACTATAAAACAAACTTAACACATTTTGGTATTCCTCCAGCCCAGAGCATTTACCAGACATTGTGATTCAACCATCAGGACATCCTTTACAATCTGACAACCTGCAGACATTCTTCTTCTTTCCCTTTCAGGATGGGGCAAAGCCAAACTAAATCCAGCAAGAGCAGCTATGGGAGTTTTTTTGTTTGTTTTTTAATACAGGGGATTTATTAAAAAAATACTCTCATTAACATTCTAGCATTACTAACAAAACAGAGGAGATGACAAAGGCAGTCAAGCTCTCTTCAAACTTTAAATCTAGACTTGGATACCTGTGGCTCTAACCAGGAGATGAGGAATCTGTTGGGTCTGGCCTGTCCCTTGTATTGCAGGTACATGAACTTTTTTTTTTGCCTATCAATTTTAGGCTGCATTGCTCTTTGAACATTAAAAAAACCCAGCAGAAACGCAGATTCTGTGGGAGCAGATGATATGGTCACACTTTCTAACAGAAAGCTTCAAGGGCCAGTGCTTGGATAATCAAAGTTCAACTGCAACAAGAAGCAAGCAGACAGGTACAAAAAGGAGCTCAGCCTCAGACCACAGCGGAAGCAAAAGTTACCTCTGCCAACTTAAAACCAAAGCCAATAGGATTCCTTTTCTATTAAAATATTGAAGTCTTAAAGTTTCAGTAATCTAAATACACTTTTTAAAAGTCATGACGTTGCTGTTTGACATTAAACTGACATGATACCGGCGCAGTGCCACACTTCACTGCAGCCATTATTTACAAGGTCTCTCTTTTTGTGTTTGTTTTGTTTTTTTTGCTGAAACACCCATTCCCATCTCTCTCTCTCCGAAGTTTGCTCCTCCTCACATCTGCAGTTTTCCCGAGCTGTGCACAGACACCTCCTGCCTGGAGGATCCTGCCCCAGCTCCAGATGATTCCCAGCCCACCACGGAGGCCTCACCTCTCCCTGATGGAGCAACACTTGGAATTGTGGCAGCAGGACCAGGTGGGTTTGCAGACAAATCAGGCAGCTCCAAGCCAGATCAGTTCATCAGAGGTGGCTCAACGTGGACATCTACAATTCCTGCATTTCTAAGGCAAGGACCATACAAAAGTTATGAACACTGTATGGTGATGAAAATATCCTTGGAGATAGATGCTTTACACTGGATTGCTATTGCTGCTTCTAAAGACCATCTCCAGTTGGCTCTAGAGATCAAAAGGGAAGAAAGTGACTTTTCTCCTGTTGCAATATGCTTATGAACATGTATAAAAAGTGGTCAAACCCCAGGAAGGGTCCCTGCTTCTTTTATGTACAATAATTTAAATCAGCTCGATACATCTGTAATACCTAAAAAAATTCTTTCATGATTTTAAGTCCTTCATGCATTATGAGGAAGTTCTGGATTTAAGTGATGGTAGAGTGGATGTTGCTTCTGTCTGGGACTCTGGTGTCACTCCCCTGTGGAGTCTGTCAGGGATGCATTGCTCAAATCTTTAGTTTTTTAATGGTCTCAAGTCTCTTTTTCAGCAGCTCTCCAATTTCCTGAACTGAGTGATGGTAACTGCTCTGGACCTTCCCTTGCACAGTCTTTGTAAACTTTTTTTCTTCCTGCAAAGTGCAAAAGAGAAATCACTCACTCCACAGCAACTGTTTCAATCCCCCTTTTAAACTTTCTCCAACATCTCAAACAGCACAAGGAAATTCCTGAGGAGCAGTGTTTGCTCAGGGAATCTCTTACCTGTAAAAGCAGAGTGTCCTTGAGGGACAGCTCTTCAAGTTTTAGTGCAGTCAGAATGATTTCAAGCCCTTTGATATGATCTATTACATTGGAAGTTAATGTCTGGAGTTCAGTTACATAATCCAGGAAATGGGTAAAAACAGGTGGCTACAAAAACAAATACAGGTCTTGAATTTATAAACACACATTAATGTCCACTTTATATAATTCACTTTGTAATCTATAATTCCTTCTTCCCACCAGTGCTAAGCTATAATTTAGCTCCCCAGATAAACACTCCCAGCTGACAAGTTTACTGTGGTACATTCCAGGCAGGAAGGTCAATGACACTCTAAACTGTATTTCTCATTAAAAAGCTGTCACATGATGTCACAGACATGACAGGGCACTGATTTTAAACAGCAAGAATTAGCCCCAAGTAACCATTACCCACATCAACCTCCACAAGTTTATGAAAATCAGTTTGTGTTATCTACCCTGATTTTTCTTCCAGAATAAATAAACTGTGATTAGGGGTGGGGGAAAAGAGAAAGAAACATTGTTTGTACCATTGCTACACTGCTCTCTTTTTTTTTCTTCTTCTTTTTTTGCAGGTTGGATTTAAAAGGTCGGAGGACACTGTCACAGTAACTTGATACCCACAGGGCAATGGAGATCGTCTGGAAGAAAGGTAAAAATATGTTCTAAGTTGCTTTTAGAGGAGGATTTCAACTCATTTTAGTGTTCCTGGTAAAACCCAGCATGATTAAAATATGCAACAAAATCCCTCACGAGTTCTCTTGATTGTCTGAGATCAAACTTGCACTGTGTTTCAGTCCCAACACTTCTACCCCACAGCACTCCCAAATTTCTAGTTTTCAGAGGGAAAAAAAATTACCTCAACAAAGAAGACTAAGTTTTCTAACAGGTTAGGATGAGTTTTCAAGGTGCCATCTCTGACTTCAATCAAGTCACCTTTACATTTATTGAACAAGTCTGAAAAGAAAAAAGACAAAACGCTTAGTGAAGGATGAAGGAGATAATTTTAAATGTGCATTATCTGAGTGTGCAGAGCTGTCAGAGCACTGACCACTGAGTCCTCTCCATCTCCTCTGAGTCCTGGCTCATCACCAACATTTCCACAGCCCTGCTGAGCCCCCCTGACCCCAGCACCAGCAGAAGCAGCTGCCCAGGCTGGGAGATAAATGCACTGAAGGGCACAGCACCATCTGAGCATGCAGCAGCCTCAGCACACAAGCCAAGGGCAATCCCAGCCTTGCTCTCAAGCTTCCACAGGGTCTGCAGATGCATCACCACAGCCCATCCCTGCAGACCCTCCAGAGCCATCCTCACACAGCCAGGCAGCTCTGCCTCAGGGGCTGCTCTTGAGTTACCATTTACCTGTCAGGCGTTCTACTAAAGACTTGAAACTATTCCCTATTCTTTCCTGGATTTCTGCTGAATCTTCTGAAAAAAAAAAATTAAAAATGGTAAGCTACAACTTCTCTTATTTTCTGCTTCTAAAAGTTCAAAAGACATTTAAATGCAATTTAGTGTCAGTACTCAAAAGTAAATATAAGTGCACTCAAAGAGGAGCCAGTATTACAGCACCACATACTGCAGAAAAATGAAGACTTAATGAAGACTTTACATAGGCCAGTGCTTTCTTTTACATAAAACATGAAAAGAAGGCACTGGCTCTCAGATAATTTAGTTTCAGACAGAAAATTAACACACAAGTAACAGTTTTGAGTCCATATCCTCCAACACCCAGCAGTTTTCTGTTGAGTTTTCAGACTCAACAGAGCCATGTGGCTCCCACCCACCACACACCACAGCAATGTGGTCAAACCCCTGCCCCAAACACTTACCTAAGCCATTGGTATCTAGTTCATAAATATCACTAACAAGATAAAACAAGCTAGTCTGGCACTGACAGCTGCCATTGCTGAAGAAGCCAGCCATTCGGGTAGGAGGAGGGCCAAGGACAGGATACTAGGCAAGAAGCAAAGAAAAAGATAAAGGTGTTGCAGCTTCTCCTCATCCCACCAGTGCCTGGCACATCTCCCAGCCAGTCACACACACAAACCCAGGGGCAGTTCAATGCACTCTGCAGCCTGCACGATGCATTCACGGCCAACCTTTGGCGAGAGCTTTCGCCTCGCTGGTACCTGGATTTTTTGTTCTAGAAACTTCTTCCCTGAATCCACCGCCGCTTCCAGCTGCTGCAGCAGGGCTCGGATGGTGTCGATCTTGGATGAGACACCGTTCTCTGCAGTCTTTTCAGAGTTCTTTGGTTGGATGGTGTGACCAAGGGTTGGGAGCCCGCTCACCAGCCTCAACGTTAAGGAGCGGATTCGCAACCACAGCGTCTCCTCCTCCAGGGAGAGCTTCCGATGCTCCTC